TAACTTTAGTGTGTTTTCTTTCTTTTCTCTTTCTTTTTTCCTTTTCTTGAGATTCTTTGTTGCTCTTGGAAGATAAGCATGTTTGTCTTCCTTTTGTAAATCTTCCATTGATGAATTAATGAAAGTGTTGTTCATCAAAAAAAGAAAAACAGTGACAGATGTCAATTTGTGTTGTTATATAACATGTGATAGTAACGCACTTATAATAGTGATATGTGACAACTACATAATGGTGGCACTTGTATGGCCATGCCACATGACATTTACACATATATTAATAACATGTGGCAATCACATAATAGTAACATATATATAATGATTGATGACTAGACCTGTTCACCGGCTGGGTCGGGACGGGTTTAGGTCGGGCTTTGCCTTTACATTAATAGAAAATGTTTAGGCCCGAGCCTAAGCCCGGCCCGACCATTGGGCATAGGTCATGAGCCCGAGCCCGGCCTGACTATAAAGCCCAAAGCCCAGGCCCGAGCCCGAGCTCGACTAGAAATTTGGAAAAAAAAAAGAGTTTCCTTTTTAATTCAATTAAAAGTTGTTTTATTTATACTAAAAGAGCTCAAAACCTAAAAAAACAATGAAAAGTCTCAGTATTACTTGAAAAAAGAGAAGAAAAATATATTACATATATGCTTTTTTATTATATAAAATATATTTTATTAATATAATACATTATCAAGTTGGGCTCGGGCTCAGGCCAGGCTTTTTTGAGAAAGCCTAAGCCCAACCCAAAAGAAAAGTCGGGCCCGATATTTTAGGCTCGAGCCCGAGCCCGCAGGCCTGAAATCTTGTCCAAGCCTGACTTAGATCGGGCCGGCCTGGCGGGCTACCCGGCCCATGAACAGGTTTATTGATGACATGTGGCAAATACATAACAATGACACTTATATGGTCTGAAATACATATGGTTGCCACATGACATCCACATTATATAGTATATATAATATACTATATATTTATATATTAATATATTATATATAATATATAATACAATATATATAATATATTATAATAATATAATATATATTATAGGTTATAATATATGATATTTTATATATGTTAATGAAGTTCTATTTTAATCAAAAATCGAACTAGAAATTTTGATTTTGGCTTGGTTTTCATTTTTTATTTCAGTTTTTTAAATTTTGGCTTACTCGGTTCGGTTTTTAATGAAATAAACCGAATGCTCACCCCTACATGAAACTAAGTGGAAATCATATGATGAAAAATTTGTATAATTTTTGGAATCCACTTTTCTCAATAAAAGTAATAAAATATTTGTATCTCCCTTAGTTACAAATGAAACAGGGCCCTGAACATTTTAAGGTCTATAAACATTTTAAGGTCCTCTTTTATTATTTTGTGAGAAATTGGTTCTACAATGTTTATTGAATTGACGCATTTGACAAGAAAAAGGCATGTTGAAAATTTTAAGGTCTATAAACAAAACTTTTAACAACTCAAAAATAAGTGAGCAAGACGATAATGCCAAATATAAATATCATCTTTATTAGGACTCACTAACTAAATGACAAACCTATCAAACTTAAATGTCATTGCACTATCTCTACTCTCTAGTGTGTATAAACCATCAACCATGTACCCTCTATTAGGGATCACAATTTCTACCCTACCAAGTGGGTACCCACCCCAATTGTGCAGTTTTTTTTTTAAATGACAGTTTTTGGGATTCTACAACCCATACAGGTACGAGTAGGGTAAGGTATTAGGCTAAACCTGACCCACATATTGTTGGAAATCATATAAACTTAATGTATTAGGTGTTGAAATTAAGAGTATTTTGAATTTTATGTAAATGATAGTTGATAGTTTATGTGTTTTCACATGTCTTAATCAAATAATTAGAAAATTTTTTGTTTGTTTGTGTTATATTACTTATTTATTGTTTATATATAACAAGAAATAATAGGAAATTAGATGTAGATTCTAAACCCAACCCACCCCTACCCTTAAATACGATGAGGGTAGGGTCAGGGGTTTTGCATTTTCATGTGCATAGAGGGATTCTCAAAATCCAACCCGCTATGGGATTTTGGGGTGGGTATGAGTTGGGAGGTTTAGGGAGGCAAGTAGGGTCTAAAATTTACAAAACCCTCCCTGAACCCTTTCATTACCATCCCTACCTTCTACCAATCATCCTCTTTTTAGTCAAATCCTGGAAAACACATTAGTAAGATAGAAAGTTATAGAATAATTCAACGGGTTTGTAATACTACCAATAGATATAAGATTGATAGGTAATTTAGGCACATGAAGAACAAGTGATAAATCAATACCCTGTTCGCTTTTCGGTAAGTTATTTATCCAAGTAAATGCTTACTTGGGTAAACTTTTCCTGGGAAACACTTACCTGGGTAAATGCATTTACCCATGTTCTTTTATTTCTTATATAAATAAGAAAATGACTATTTTATTCATAAAAATCCATTATTAAAAATGGCATTTTTGTCCCATTCAAGTGTTGGCAACTTTCCCCCTAGGTGGGAAAGTTATTTACCCACCTAAGAGACGGGTATTACTTATCCGGGTAAGCGATACCCAGGAAAATAAACTTTCCTTGGTCCCCACATAAATCTGAAAAAAGAACATGGGATTCTTGGTCAATGAGAACCACAATCACATTGACCAACTCCCCCCCCCCTCAAAATCTGAAAAAAGAACACCCCCTAAATAGTTGATTTCATCAAGGAAAATGATGCGCCAAGTGACAATCACATAACGATGACACTTGGAATATACATGATTGTCAGTGATAATCACATTTATAAATAGTAACATACCATCACTTCATGTAAACCAAAAGTACATTTGAATTAAAAGCAAGAGGTATGAAAAGTTTGTACTTCTGATATTTTTTGTACAAAACACTCTAAACAAATGGCAAATGATGCTTTTTGCACTTTCTTTTTCGTACTTCTAAAAAGTTTAATGCAAATTAGAATATCGAATTCAAACCTAGAATAGAGATGCATCAGATCCAATAAATTTGTTCAGATTTGATTCATCAAATTCAATAGGTTGCCAGTTAAGTGGTTATTGTCTTCAAACTTTTAGAAGATGGGGTGGCTACGGGGAGAGAGGCTACCTTCTCGGAAGGTATTGGGTTCAAAGCTGAGCTCAAAAGATCGGAGCAATACAAGCGTCTGACCAAAGTTCACAGGCAGTGGCGCAGCCAACCACTTGGCAATCACTTTTGTGATTGGAGATCAATCAACTCTGAGCAAGAGCTGGTCTTGTGTTTCCCCAGCAATGAATTCTGAGCAAGAGCTGGACCTCCAGACTCCAATAAGTGGGGCATGCTTCTTCTTTGCTTCTGCTTTCCAATTGAAAATTGTATGTCAAAAGAGAACTATATCAATAGCCAATTTGATCACATTGAACTCAATGAATTGATTTAGGCCTTCCAATTGGTAGTTGACTTGGGCCTCATCCTGCAACCTGATTAAGAGGATAGGATGATGTTGTTGCCCTGGAAACAGGTTACTCAAAACAATACGCATGTAGAAATGTGGCAGGCTGGCAGCATCATGGAAAATCCTTCCTCCTGTTTTTCCCCAAATTCATCTGACAATGATGTCCAACAAAGCAAAGATACAACTAAAAACAGAAAACATGAGTAGGAAGGAAACACTAGATCGTCATGTATTGAAAGTGTAGTCATTTACAATTAACTCAAGAGGTTGAGATTTGAATAAGGCAATGTTGATTGGCAGTTGAAAAGTGTTACTGAGTCTAAGGTAGGAAACTTGTTGCATTGTATCAGCACATGTATGTACAACCCCATCTTCCATTTTGGGAGAATATTGCCACTGCTTTGGCTGCAACTGCAAGGCTTTACACAGAGACCAAAGCCACTAGAATCTTTCTTTGGTCACCCACTCCTTGGAAAATGAGCAAGCTTTTTACATCACAATGTAGAGGCATTAGAATTTAGGCATCGGCCCACATTGCAGCAGCTCTTCATAGGTGGAGCCCTATTACCTGTCCCCATAACAAGTAATGGTTTGGAACTTTGGATTGATATAACAACACTGCTATTTCAGAAAACAAGGCCATGCATTATTGTGGAGAAGACCTTCAAGCATGCACACCAATGTTCCATATCTGCAAAAGAAACTAGCAATATTCATTGCTAATCAGTTGTGAAATTATCACTGTTCAGGTGCTTTCATGGAGTCCACAAGACAAACTTCGGCAACGCCGTTTCTTTGAGCTTACCTGAAACTAGCAGATAATCCAATCAGCAACGTCCATTCAATGTGTATGAAAGTACACAAAAGATTCAAAGGATAAGTAGAAAATTTTACCCAAAAAAATACAAATAAAATGAAAGTGCAGAGTATTGCTTAATTCTTTATCAGAGAAAATGATTAAAAGTTTTACATKAAACAACCAAGGGTCAACAATGAAGGATATAGGTAGATTTCAGATGCCCAAAAAACCAAATTGGATCAAATAAATACTAACACCTGCAAACCTATAGAGATCAAAAGGATGACTTTATTCATCATTTATGATAACATGTTTTACCTAATAAACAAATTAGAAAACTACAATTACAATTATTTCTTGTCAACACTTCTTCTACAAAATGGAAAAAACATGCTTGGTGGTGTAGGTTCTCCAAATTTGAAAGCCTTTTGAGCAGGCTTTCCTCTTTCAGAAAAATAAATAGATAAATAAAAGGGACAAATAATCCCATTGTAAGAGAATATACCCAACAAGTTCCTGAAACTAAGGTCTCAGATGGAGTTTTAAGATAAATTTTGGAAGGATTAAAGATAACGAAGATATATGGGGGTGTTCAAATATGAGAACAAGCAAAGATGGATTGGCAACAAAAGACAAAAATGGTTGAAACAAGGAAATTTTGGGTTTCAATGCAAAATAAAAGAAAACATTTCTGGATCAGTTTTGGTACATTATGGATGTTGAATAAATTCTTTGGTAAATAATTTGCAGGTTGATGTTTGTAATGGCAGCTTGCAGAATTAAAGAGAAGTTTAAAAGAGGAAAAAAAACCAGGAATCACTTAAAGAGTAAAAGGGGAACCTAGGCAAGCAAATCAGTTACCACTCTTATCATAAGCTATAAAGATCATAAATGAACTCAAATTATTTATTCCTCCACATGTTACAAAAATTACAAAATTGCCGGGAATCACTTAAAGAGTAAAAGTGGAACCTAGGCAAGCGAATCAGTTACCACTCTTATCATAAGCTATAAGATCATAAATCAACTCAAATTATTAATTCCTCCACATGTTACAAAAATTACAAAATTGCCACCATCATAAGAAAACTCCTAACCTACATATGCAATGCCTATGAACCTTTTATACATAAACCAATTATAACTAGATAAATCGAAGTACTAAGCCAAACCCCATAAAAACGTGTTAAATGACCAAAATACACCTACAATCTAAATAAACAAAAAAAATACATAAAATTCTAAAAAATCTAGTTTTGTCTCTTTGGCTCAGACATCACTCTCCCCCAATTAGGAAAAACAACCTCAAGTTTTAAAGAACTTAAGGATAAAATGAAATTCCAATATAAATATATAGAGCTGAAATTTTTCAACGAAAATTTATATAGATGTTTAAGGTCATTGACTGTATAGGGTGATTTAATTTGAAAACCTTATGAGCAGGTTTTCCACAAATGGACAAAAAAAAACATTTTTTGAGAGACTACCAAATTTCTGGATACTGAAGTCTTAGATGAAGTTTAGATAAAATTTAGTAGGAAGGTGATACAGATTTATGGAGAACATCCAAATATAAAGGCAACCAGAGATGATTTGATACTGTTAGAAAATAAAAACCTATTCAGGGACCTCACCTAACAGCTTAAGCTTTTAGGTTGAATGGTTCCTTGACATGGTATCAGAACCTATTTGACCAAGTGGCCTAGTGTCTGATCCTTAACGCCCATTATAATTAAATTTCAGTACAAGGTATGGGTGGGCTTGTGATTGCCCACACTTCAAAGCCCAATGGGCTTCTGCATGAGGGTGCATGTTAGAGAATAAAAACCTATTCAGGGACCACACCTAACAGCTTAAGATTTTAGGTTGAATGGTTCCTTGTCAGATACAAAAGGATAAAATGGCTAAAATTGAAAGTTTTTACATTTTAATGTAAAATAGAGAAAAGGCATCCTAGATCATTTTTGGTTTACGATGTAATCATAAGCCAGGCTTAGCACTTATGATAAGGGGCTATGTGAATCACACACACACACACACATAATCATCATCATCATCATCATCATTATCATCAAAGCCTTGTCCCAACTATATGAGGTTTGGCTACATGAATCCTGTTTAACCATTCCGTTCTGTTCAGTGCCATATCCATTGTTAAATTATGGGCAGCCAAATCATTTATTATTACTTCCACCCACGTCCTTTTCAGTCTGCCCCTAGCTCTTCTAGCCCCTTCAACTTGTAACAAAATTCACTTCTCCTAACAGGTGCTACCATGCTAGTGCTACAAATTGTCTTCTATGAACATGATCAAACCATCTCAATCTACTTTCTCCCATTTTATCACCTACTGGGGCTACTCCTAGGTTCCTTCATATGACTTCATTTCTAACCCTGTCCTTTCTAGTATTACCATCCATGACCCATCCATCTAAGCATTCACATTTTAGAAAAGAATAGGTTATGTACAGAATAAAACACAGCCCAGTTGTAGGTCAGCAATGCACCAATCTTTCTTTATTGCTTAGACCACAAGCTTCACACTTGAGAGGTAGTTCCCCAATATAACTATTTCCTGTTAGCTCATTGTTGTGCCAGTGCATCAGCCAAGGCATTGGCTGATGTGTCCATTGATATCTTACCACCAATAGTCTTTTTACTTCTCTTATCTATTGTCTATACCTCCAAGGACCATCCCTTTGTTGATTGAACCAGCTAATTTATACATCAGAATCTCCTTTTGCCACAATATTGCCGTAGCGCAAACTTTTCCCAATCCTAAGCCCTTGTAGAATCACCATCAATTCAGCCTTCGTAGAATTCCCTATTCCAATTAGGCCAGAAAATAAGGGTAATATGTTACCATCCTTATCTCTAAAGACCCCATCCAATGCCTGAATTACCTAGATTGCCAAAACACCACCCATCAAAGTTGAGCTTAATGGTGTTCAGATATTGCAGCGACCAATAGATCAGCATCACCTACCTGGTAATCAACAAATGTGCCACAGTGTGTCATTTCCTAATATATCATCTCTAGTAAAGGGCTGAAAGGTCTCCATTATCTTCACCCAGTGGGCTACACTCATTGAAAGGCTTTCTATTATTGATTCCTTGGCATGGCTCCTGTCTCTTAGACTGCGTTTGGAATCAGTGTAAAACGTCATCTGTGTAAAAGTACACCGATGATGTTATACACTGAACTGTCATTAAGTGACCTTTGTGTTTTTGAAAAACGTGATGCAATTGGTGTAAAGTTTTACATTGATTTTATCGATGTAGTATTTACATCGATTTTATCAATGTAGTATTTACATCGATATGTCAATGTAAAACTTTACATATGATGACGTTTTACATTGATTCACAACGTAAAACTCCACTCCATCCAAATGTGTGCAAAACTGAACCGGAGTGGAGCTTTATGTCGATCATTATTACACACTCTTTCCAAACGTAGACAAAACCGAACCGATGTAAATGTTTACATCGCTCTTGATTTACACCGATTCCAAACGCAGCCTTAAAAATCTCTCGTTGCTTTCTTCCCAAATCAACTATAATACCACCGCCCTAGTGCATCTCCAAAGAACCCCACCCCTCTTCTTGTTGGGTGAAAAGAAAGAAATTCTAAATAGGCTCCCCAGTTCCATGGGAAGATCTCACCTGTCACCAAAGAGTGCAAAAAAGAATTCCCAAATTCAAGATACAAAAGGACAAGAGATTACTAGGTAGTTATTAGTTTCATAACTTGCTCTACAAAGTAAACAAATGTGAGGAGACAGGCACCAAAGAGAACTTATATTTTGAATAAGCTCAAAAATATTCCTGCTCTCTCTTTTTGCCTCTTTTCATCACTGATAAAGGATTTCTTAAAGATCAAAGAAATTTCAGTTAAAAAGAAGTAATAAAGAGATAAAATAACATTTGCTAAGAGGTTATATGAAAATTGAGTCATATGTCAGTCATGGTACCCTCCTAATTTCGCTTTTGGTGCTTATATGAACAGACTGGATAAAACAATGTTCAGAGAACTGGACCAGGCATCAACCCGGAAAAGGGAGAGACTTTCACGGGTCAGAAGTTCAACCAGGGCCAAACCCATGATGATGTAATATATAACAATAATAAATAATATATGTTATTTATAACAATTATATATTTATATGCAATATGCTAATTATATAATATACACATAATAGTATTAATTATATATATACAAAACATATAATTATATTCTGCTATAACATATATTATTGTATTCTGGTTTTCATTTTTTTAATATAAAAAATTGATTTGAGGCCAAAAGCAGGCATTTTTGGCAAAAATAGTCATCACACAGACCACGAAACGTTACCCAAAATATAAAAAAAAAAGGTCACCCTAATTGGACAACCAAGCGCAAAGTTATGGCCTCTAGAAGCTTCTGTTTAAATTATAAAAAAATGAAAGAAAACCAGCCGGTTTTCTAGAACCAGGACCGGTTCACCTGTTTTCTGGAACAGTTTGGGTCAATGGTTTTGGCCAGTTTCTTATACGTTCTAGTTTTGGGGGTATAACTGAACCTGCCAAGGGCATGGGCATGGGCATGGTTCAACCAGCCCAACCAGTCGGTCCGGTACATTTTCTAGACAATGGATAAAACAACTATAGCTAGCTGCAGTTTTCTGTCAGAGATTGTCTTAGAAACCTTTTCCGGTGACCATCAGCTTGGATGAACCATTCACAAGATCAAAGCAATCCAGCATAGCCTTTGGACTGCCAATCAGCTCAGCACAAAGGGTTTCAAGGTGGAACCAATTCAAAGAATAACAAACAGCCAATTTGCAGCTGCAAGCTCAGCTTTTTGTCTCAGTGGGGCCAACATCTCATGTTTGTGTTTCAGTGCCATTTCTTCTGAAGTTGCATAGAGTAGAATAGTTGATTTTCTCACTAAATTGGGGGTAGGTCTAGTAATGAAATTTCCACACCCCAAGTTCAATAGAAACATAATACATTCTCCAGTGTTAATGGGTGTAAACACTCTTACTTGTAAATTATTTGTTCGTAAATACTATTACCTGTAAACCATTTTTTCACTTAGAAATTCTGGCCACAACCAAAGCATGTGCACACACACACACATACGAGAATGCACAGAACCCAAAAGATGAGCAGATGGAGGGAGAGATTTGTCAAGCTTGTCCAAATTTCATGGGAAAAGATCAAAAGGCAGGGGAAAAGCATACTCTATCCCAAAGATTAGCATTATATGATCCCCAAAAAATCTCTTCTGATTATTGTTTCTGATAAGAAATATCTCAAAGATTTGCGCAGAGTTTCATAATTTGTATCTGAAATAATTAAAATCAAGTCCAAGTGCCCAATCATTTTGATCAGCAATAACATTTGAAATACTAAACTGGGAACAGGTAGGTCAAGCTAGCATTAAGGATTAATATTGATACAACACACCCATATCAATATCGGTGTAGCAAAATAAACTTGGATACATACACTGATACAAGAGTTTTTTGAAAACTTTAAAAGTTTAAAATAAATGGTGGGACCCTCTAATACCTATAAAATTAAAAAAAAATAAAATAAAATAAAAATCAGTAAGTATCAGTGATATCTATACGCACCGATACTCACTTGAGGGTATATCGATATTTTAATCCTTGGCTAGCATGAAACTGTTAAGAATAGGCAGGCCTAAACTGTTCTGAGCAAAACCTATTGCCATCCCCATGGATAAAAATATAGAATATTGATAAAAATACTTCTATAGAAGAAAACAATGAATAACCCTGACCTTGAGAAACAAGATGCAGGTGTGAATTACTACTTTTAGCATTTTAAATAGAAATAACCATAGACCATCACTAACTATTACAACATACCTTTGAAGATGAAGGAGGTAATGAAGCTTGACGTGCAGCCCTTCCTGGTTCTTTTAACTGCCAAATTTCTCGAAGCTGGGTGACAATATCCTCCAGAAGTTGCAGCTGGAGTTGTTCCTTTTCTCTGTAGTCCACGGAAAAATTTAGCTTCTCTCTCCCTTCTTGCACAATTCGTAACCTTTCTCTAAGCCACTCAACTTCATTCTCAATTTTCCATCTTTCACTATCAGCTGCAGATTTGGAATTTCTCCACAAAAATAAAGGCAAAGCTTTACCATGTGAGTCATTTGCAGGTGGCATCCTACCACTTGTCATGTTTGAACTGCTCCGGTGAATGTCTGGTTCAATCTCTGCCTTACCCATGCTTGCACAGTCACTCACAACATAAATTCCCTTGTCACCAGAAGGGTCACCAAAAGAAAGAGGATACTTCCTTGAATCTCTGCTTACCCCCTTAGAATTATCATCAATGATATGAACATCATGAGGACTTGCTTCTTTCTCCTGCATAGAAATATATACATGACTATAGCCTAGTCCTGTATCTTTCCCATGCTTGTCCAAAGCTTCACTGTCACAATGAAAGGTGAATCCATTTCCAGTATGACCTTGATCACCCTTCACTCCCATTCCTTGGCATTTTAAAGGATTATCCTTTTGTCTTTGGTTTTCATCTATTAAAATAATAGTTTTGTCCAGTAAACCATGTTCTTGAGGGCTATTCAACTTATGCAAGCTGGCATCTGCCTCTAATATCGCCCCATCTTTATTTGGAGCAGATGGATTCTTGTCCATGGAGACCATTCCCTTCTCCTGAAACTCTTGGTTGAATTCATCCATAGATCCTCGTACTTGTGAATAATATTTGTCAATACCAACTTTTCTCTGAATATTACCTCGCTTCAGAAAGTCAGCATCATCATCCCAGTCCACTGATGTTGGGTGTTCTAAAGAAACATGGTTACTATTTAGTTCCTCCATAGTTAGGGTGATGCTATCTGATGGCTTTTTGGTGTTTTTCATGATTTCCTTCTTGCCAATGGATTCACTAATTTGATGCAGCATCAATACCGGATCCCCACTAAAATCAAATGGAAAAGTAGGCTTTTGTTCCAACATTTCGGCCAAATCATGCTTATTACCTTGCAACTTCTCATCTCTAGCAAGTACCACCTGCCTGTAAGATTCAACTTCCTTCTCCAAAAAGTGCTTCTCCCTCTCTCTTCTAATGAGGATCTCTTTAAGGATGTCCATTTCCTCTGCATCATAAGCAGACTTTTCTTCTATCATCCTCTGATACTGCCTAGCTTCCATTTCTATTGATGCCTTTTCCTTTTGCAGACGCAATATCATAGCCATGGCTTCATCAGCAGCAGTTGCAGCAGCACTTCTTTCTTTTTCTAACTCAACATACAATGCAGCCCGAGCAGCTTGCTCTTCTTCAAGTGCTTGTTCCAAGACTCTAATTGCGTTGGCATCCTTTCCATCAAAATCCAGTTCATTTCGATCATGGCATACAAGTTCTTCAACCAAAAGCCCACCTTCCTCCATGGACTTACTTTCACCAAATGGATCATTCTGTTCAAAGCCATGCAGTTTTCCTTCACCCAACCCGATCCCTCTGGAAACCCCTCTATCATCTGAAAGTTCATAAAATTAAGGGTTAGCAATTTTTTTTTTTTTTTGGATTGGTATAAATAATAGCGATTCTTGCACTGAAAGAACCAATCATGCAAAAACAGTGATGAATCAAGTAAACTTCACTGCAATTCATTATTCATGTGAGAGGTTACACTCAAGCAATTGGAGAAAAGAGAATCCTGGTCTAATCTAAAAACCTAAAGTGGGAGAAGAAATAACAAAAGGAACTGATTTCAAAGGTTCATTTGTGTGCAAAGCTTTAGAAACAATTCCCACTCACCATTAAGGCCGTCTCCTCCATAATTCACAGGCTCCGAGCTCTCTTCATTTATTTCATGGCCTGTTTCACTGACACTGTAAGGGGAGCGAGGGGCGTTCCGACAATTAAACCTTGGAGGATCGGAAGACGACACAGAAGAGAACTTCCCATGTTCGACAGCGGATCTGCGACGACGACGAAGAGTAGATCGTGGCTTCTGAGTCACAACCCCCTTCCCCTTAACATCAGACCTGCTTTCACGAGCAACAGGGGAATTTGTCAATCCAAACCTAATCATCTCATTCCTCGGTGACAGGTCCCTCAGAGCCAAGCTGTGCGATCGTCTCCTCGTCTCCGAGAACGAGCTGCAGGACGCTTCTCCTTCCATTTCCAGCAGCCCATCACAGCGGTCCCTATCTCTCAATAGTTTAACATTCAATTGGCACCCTTGGTCCTTCATCCAGAATGTATCGAAAGGGAACTTACTCTTAACAGACATTTGAACAGAAGAGATCTTCCCAGTTGGGCAGTCAACCAGCAACCTCTGCAAGCATTTACCTCCATTCGGAACACCAAAAAACCCGTTACAGGGACACGGCAAGTACAACCCAAAAATACCCAAGAACTTCGAAGCAAAAAAAGCAAGCGCCGATCCACAGAGCAGGAGATAAGCCAGAGCAAGATCAAGAAAAGCCCCAACTAACCCGCAGAACGTCCACGAACGAATCGCTTGGCAAGCCATCCTTCTCAGATTACACCAGCTCGAACAGACCCAAAAATTTTCTTATCCCCGAAACCGAATAGATTCAAAAATTAAAAAAAAAAAAAATGATTTCCCTTTTTTCCTGTCGAAACCAAGGAGTTTATATTGAAGAGGAAGAAGTACAGTACACCCACCCTGATAATTGATCGAGAGCTTAAACTATTCGAGGAAAGAACCCAAGAAAAAAAAAAAAAAAAAAAAAGAATCAAAGCGAACTATTCAAAACCAGAGACAAGCCCTTCTTCTTCTTCTTCTTCTTCTTCTTCTTCTTCTCTTCGGATATTACAGTAGAATTGAAGCTCAAAAACCGAGGAATACGAAAACCCTCATCAGGGCAGTTCGGATTAGATGACTGGGAACTGAAGCGTTACTTGATTTTTCTTTGCTTGTTTATATATGTTTCACCGTACAGAAGACGGGCAGAATTGAGAACTGTAGGGAGGCCAATACGGGCAGTACGGTCAGGGGGTTTACGGGGTTTAGGCCGCTAAAGTAAGACGAGGGCAGCCTCCTTGTCTTCTAGTTTATAGTTTCCATGAACATCGAACACCCGGCTGTTTTCTCGAAAGCAGTCACGGTCTTATCTCCAGTCACCGCCTTCTCTGTCACTGGTTTTCTGAAATTGAAAAACAAAAACAATGCCATCAATCGCCGGAGAATCTCGGGCCGGTGAACGTGCCCCTGATGAAGACTTCAACGTTGGGCCCGGCGGAGAATAATCAAAAGATTCAATAAAGCAAAGAAATGAAGCGAATCTGTGTACGGTAAGTCGGTAATAATGAAGGCGTGATACTCTGAAGAATATACGCGCTTTTGAAGTCGCGTAATACACGATCTTCGATGTATTAACTATTAACGAGCGAAGTAGTGAACCATATATAAATGTGACAAAGCGCGTAGAATCGCGACTGTAGTATGTAAAATGATATTATATTAGCCACGTGTAATAAATTTAGATGATGATAATCGCCTATAACAGTAGTTGTTATTTATGACGTCCGTTATCTATGGCTGAGTTTGTTAATAGTGCAAATGCAGATACAAAATTAATTGCAAGTAAATTTGTTTTTTACGTTATTATAATACAAATTGAGAGTTAAATTTGTTTATAAAAAAAAAATCCAAATTTGCACTCAAAGTTGGCTGATATAAATTTAGGGGGGAAGGGGTGTTTGACAACATGGTGGGTTTTGTTTTTGAAAACAAAATTAATTGCCACATCATGGTTGGTTTTGTTTTTGCTTACATGACTGCTTTTGTTTTTCAAAAACATAACCAACCATGTTGTCAAATTCCCCCTAAATAAGTAAATCCCAAAAATTTGCTATTCTAACAAAAAAGAATAAGTAAATTTCAATCTTGATCATCATCAACCCCAAACATGATAATAAATTTATCAATGCAAAAGCAAACCAAGTTTATATTTGTATTTTTTAATCAAATTTGCATTATTTTATTACTAGTTTATTAATAATTTATTATTTTATTATATTTTAGTTTTATTTTTTGTTATTTACTTATTTATTATTAATAATTTATTTATTCTTTTATGAATATTATTATCAACAATGTTTTCAACCCGTTATTGATCTGGTCGGTCGAATCATTCGCACCGTCACCTCGCCAGGATTCTGAATTTGGTTCAGTCAAGATCCATCAAACGGTCAAAACCGATGACTTGGTCAAGAACTGTTCGACCCGGTGACCGGGTCGCGGATTGCACACTTAATGCATACAAAACTTTCGGAAGCCATAACTTTGCATTCTTATGTCCAATTGGGATGGTTTTTTTTTTATTTTGGGTAACTTTTCAAGAACTATGTGTCCCAAGGAGTAGTAGGCGCCTTGGCTCGCTATTTTTGCAAAAAAAAAAAAAACTTTTTTTCCTCAAATTGCAATTTTTAATTTTTTTACAAATAAAAAATTAAAAAACATAAATTAAATATAAAATAATACATATATCATGTCTAAAATATATTTATACATTATTTATTGCTAAAATATATATTCATATACATATATATAAATACACACATATATATAATATGCATTTGACTTGGACAGCTGAGTTGTTTGACTCGGACAGTCGAATTGATGACCTGCGACCCAGAGGTAAAAATGGTTCAGCCTTTGGATTGGTTTTTAAAATATTCTTTTACTTTTTAAGAAACTCTAAAATGAGAATTCCATTGGAGGGAGGAGGAGTCATTAGGGGGCTCAAAAAAAAAAAAAGGTCTTTGCTATTCAACCCTTTCTCTATGTCGTCATGTTAAGTCACTACCATAGGAAATTGCTACCATTGTTAATTCATCTCTCAATCTTGCTGGTTTTAGAGCTGCATTGGTGTCACAGGGGTAGTTCTACAGCGGATGAAACCCGTGCGGCGTCCAGGCCAAGGTAGGCCAGGACAAGCCTTTGTGTGCTTAGAGGCTAGGAGTTGCCCGATGAGATGACTCTACCAAGGTCAGTAGCACTGGATCATGACCTCAAGTCGCATGGCCGGGGCACTCGGCTGGCTCAGACCGATCCATGGGAGGCACCGCTTACGTGCTAAAGGGGGACGGCCATAATGCAAGGCGGCTGTGCGCCGAAGAGGTGACTTGGCACTAATGTGAGGGGTCTCCTGTATGCCGATGATGATGGGCACCTGTGTGCCATGATGAGAGGCAACCGCTTGGGCCGAAACACACCCATGTGCTAGGGGCAACGGGATAGCTCACTCAGCTTGGGCGCAAGGGGCCGGCGTGGTGAAGGGTCATGCTTGAGCCAGGCCCACATGCCAAGCCTCCCTTGAGTGTCAGCAGCGCAGTGCAGGTCCATGCACTGTCCCCATGAGCATGTGTGCGCCCATGAGGAACCCTGGTAGCCATGCAAGCCATTAACTAGGGCCGCCCCACAAGGGAAGTTGGTCTAGGAGTGCCAAGGTCAGGCACCCAAGGAGGTCGACCATCCCTCCTCAAAGAGTACGTTAAGATTTTGGTGGTCTACCTGAAGATAACATCAATTCTCCCAAAAATCTTATAGGCGAAAATGACGGTGATGTCCCTTAACGTAAGCCTGCCAAGCGTAGGCAAGGCTAAGGTTGTGTCAGACTGTAACATTGTGGAGAGTTTCAACGCAAGTGGATTTGTCACATAAGTAACTTTGGTTGTCATTGGAGTTAAGAATCACAAATTAACTATAGTTGGATTATTTGGCATGGTTTGAATGGAGCAACGATCAGTTGATTTTGTTACTTGGTTCAAACTAAATTACTTTTAGCGGCAGTTTCAGCGACTATCAGTAAAACTCAAATGACAGTTGCTATAAGTCCCACCTTTAGCGGCACAGGAACCACTCTTTAGGTGACAATTTAGATTGTTAGCGGCACAGAAACAACTCTACTAAATGAACCCATAATTTATTTCACATTACTCGTTTTTCCTTCATTCATTCAAATTAGAATTAAATACAAAAGACAAAACATCAATTGCAATTAACACATAAAAGTTCATTCTCCCTTCAAAATAATTTTAAGTCACAAATACATCTCCCCCTTCAAGAATTCTGCTATATCTTGGTCTGCATGGTTTTCTCAGATAAGCACCAATTCCTTTTAATTTTTCAGCACCATGCCTCAAAGGAAATAGAAATGTTGGCTATTTTATAAATCAGATAAGTAATTATATGGCTCTAAAGGAGGTAAATGCATTCCATATTGAGCTAAAAGTCTACAGCTGACAACTACAAGTCAAAAATTTACTACTTTGATTTTGCATTTTTCATGGTAAGAACATCTCCAACAAAGTATTACTCTCTTGTATTCTTAAGATGAATCATGAAATTCAAAAGAAAACCCCCTTCAAAGACAAAGCCAAAATGGCCTTTGATGGTAGCGTGGGGGGAGGACTCACCCTGTGCAAGTGCCAAATCCGTGGCATCGAGGGAGGCCGAAGGGTCTCCCTTAGAGGCAGAGAGGGTACCAGTTACCGAGGTCAGCCCGAGGACAATGGCCGAATATGCTACTGGCATCTTCCGCACTCGGAATTCAACAACGTCTTCGACTATGACCAGGTTAAGGCCCTAGCTAAGAGGTATCATATCCCCCAGTCTTATCAACTAAGGGTCCCCGATGTTGGTGATCGGCCGTGGACGCCAAAAGAGGGGGAGATCTGTGTGTACCAACACTTTCTTGAGTTCGGCCTCAGGTTTCCCCTTCATTCGTTGCTCTCCGAGCTGTTGAAATGGTACAGGGTCACCCTAAGGCAATTATCTCCCAACACGCTCAGAGCCATCATCTTCACGTTGGTGGTGGCTTGGCTTCGAGACGTGGACCTGACGTTGAAGATGTTCCGAGCCATGTTTGTGCTGAGGAAGCACTCTTCTGAGGTTGGCATGTACTATTTCCACCCTCGCCGAGGTCGACCCGTAGACAACCCTTCTTCTGTCCATAATTGCAAGAGTAAATTCTTCTTTGTCTCCTGTCCTGAGGGGCTGGTCCTTTAAGTCGGGTTGGGGGGAGTTATACTTAGTTGCCAAGAAGCCCATGCCAATGCTTCGAGACAATGAGGTCGTTGCACTAACCCACCTCCTTGTGTTGGGGATGCTTCGATCAAGCCTCGAGTAGAGGTCGAGCTCCCTCTGGTTTTTGCGGGGATCAGTTCCGCTTTGCTCGATAGGAGAAGTCCCAGTGTCAGCTACTTCACACGTCAGCTTCCTTCTTTATTTTGTACGGATTTTTTGTTCTTTCTTCCAGAGACACTGGTGGACACCAAGCGACTGCTGTTGGAGAGCGCCCTAGCCTGAAAGAAGGGCAAGGCTGGGGGCACCTCGGGAGGGCAGACACCAAGGAGGGCCTCCGAGGTGCCACCTGCTAGGGTGGAGAAGGGGTTCGTACCCACCGGGGGAACCTCTCGACCACAGGCCCCCGCTGAAGGGGGTGACAGAGGGAAGAAGCCGGCCAAGGGAGGCTAGCAAGAAGAGGCCAACCGAGGTGCCACATGCCCCTCCCGCGAAGAGATCGATGCACAAGGACTATCCGACTGAGGTTGTTGAGCCAAGAAAGGGGCGTCCTACCACTTCGAGGAGGCCGCTTGCAAAGGGGCCTGCCCCCGGGCCTTCATCCGCTCCCCCTTTTGCTTCGGAGCTAGTTGAGGAGGGGGAGTGTCTCACCCGGTTGTTCCGCCCTAAGTGGAACATCCATGAAGAGGACTCAATCGATGCTTAGGGGGTCGACAGAGCCCTTGTCAAGGGGATGATCCTTCCTAGGAATCGATATGGAATGATGCAGACAAACCCCCTCCTCGTTTGGGATGAGGGGCTAGACTACTTGGCCGAGGTGAGTTCTATCAAATTTTTGCCTTGTTATTTGTTGTCTTTCGCTTGCTTTGCTGATGAAGCGTCTGATGCAAGTCTACCATCACTATGTCAGCTTGGGGGACAGGGTCAGCCTCCTCCTCGAACGTGTGAAGCAACTCGAGAAGAAGAAAAAAAGATCTCCAGGTGCGGGTAGCCTCCGTGGAGAGTAGCCGAGATGAGACTCTCTCGGCATTGAACGAGGATAAGCAACTCCGACAGACGCTAGAGAACGATCTAAAGGTCGAGAAGGCTCTTATTGCCCAGGCCAAAGATCGATTGAAGAGGTTCAAGGAAGACCGGGCTCGTCTTGATGGGATTGCTCTCGAAGCTTGGAGGGAGGCCGCATACGCTAAGGCTCAAGTAGCGGAGGCCAAGGCGAACCACCGGAATGCTGTTGCTATTTGGC